ATGCTTGCCGTAAAAGGCGACTAAGCTTGTCGTAAGAGGCGACTAACGGGATCGGGTGGTCAGGCTCGATGACTTGGTTGATGCATATCATCGATCCTAATTGCGTCGATCGATGCTCATAATGTCAATCACTGGATTGTCTGGTCCAGACTCGATTATTTACAGATCGCCGTCGTATAGCTGGAATATTGCTGAGTGCGGCGTTAAACAATAAACCAACCAGATCTCTCCTCGTCATAATATGACTGCAATATTACCGATGTGACGTTCAGTTTTAACTCACTCACTCACCCTAACTCCCCTTTTCCCTTGTCATCACGCCAGTTCTTTACTCCTGTCTCTGTACCTCCGTCAACAAATGTTCACCATTTCAACCTGCCCGTTTACCATTCGTCACCTCTTTATTCAGATTAACATATCGTCCATGAAGTAAAAGTATAGATAAGTTAAAAGATTGAATTCTATAAGGGAACCCTTGAATATTAAAGAACCCGCAAGTCTCTTAATTTCAGCAGAGCTGAGAACGGTTTAACATGGGCACCTTGGAAGCAAGAATGGTGTGAGAATGGAATTGGGTGTATGTTTTATTACAGTAAGCTTCGGTTATAACGAACTCAAAGGGACTACTCATTTTAGTTCGTTATAACCGTAATTCGTTATAAGCGTGTTCGTTATAAACGTAGTTTACTGTCCATATATACTCTTGGGTCTGTAAGAAAGACTATCCGTTCTTTACCTTCCAACTCCCCTTCCTTAATGATTACTGGCATCGTATTCCCCTTCTACCCCCCCCCCCCCCCCCCCCCCCCCCCCCTCTATTCTTTTACTTCTAACCCTTGTCTTTTGTTGTGCTGAAATATATTTGACAAAAGTATTTTTAAATATAACTTTGATGTATTTATATGACGCGCTTGTAGCTGCTAGAACTTGTCGCTCTATGGCTGAAATAATACCGATGCGGCGTTAAATTTTAACTCACTTTAACCCTTGTCTCTCCCGCGCCACATTTTTCTACCATCTCCATCCCAACCTAGCCCATTCCTCTGTTCCTACCCCTTACCCCTTCCTGAATATCCACGCTACCTCACCCCAACCTAACATCTACAACGCCCTTCCGCTTGTAATTCCCCTCACTTCTTCGCCAGTCCCTCCCCTCCTTACACCGTTGCAGTTCTGCAACACCCTCAACATCCCTCGGACAGACTTCCCTCTTTCTGCCACCTCTTCCCCCATCCCCCGCCCCTCCCGCCACAACCCAGGTGGAACCTCGCACCATATGTACAGCAGACCTCCAGCCGTAAAAAACCCTAATCTTAACGACCCATTCTTACATGAGGTTTTCTCATTCTGTGCATGTGGGGCTAGCGAAAAATGCACGAGATGTTTTTACCATCGGAATCACCAAACACGAACGGGAAGAGCGGAGTAGCGGTGAAATGGAACCCCGGATAATATCACCCAATCCTGTGCTCAAATGTATCGGGTTAAATGACTACAAAGTTTACGACCTGATGAGAGTTTTCAATGAGAAAATCACCGTTTGAAATGGTATCCTACTTCTGACGACTGAGTCAATTCTTGGGTGATAATTGTACATTTTCTCCGTCTCTCTGGCTAGGAAATGTCGGTTTCAAAAAAATCCGTCCATATCTCCGTTGTTTATTTTGAGATGTCATTCATGACATGCTTTAATCAAAATATACATACACGTGCCTACCAGAACAATCAAACCCGAAACTTGTTGTCTTGCCAGTAGTACCGGAGCATCGTGACATTTCCTTCCGCCGAAAATAGTTCTTTTTACATACCGCGCGAGATATAGGTAAATATGAAAATCAGAACAGAAACCTGATATAAATTCATGATCAAGAACCTGCAATTCTGAATAGGTCGAAGAGAAAAGACTTAAACGTGATGATGGTTCATCGGGTGTAGTGCTACGGACAAATATTCAAATGTCAAAGCCGTATTATAGTATTAACAGACCGCCATCATATAGCTGGAATAGCGCACTTATCCTGCTATATTACGGCGGTCTGTAAATAATCGAGTCTGGACCAGACAATCCAGTGATCATTGATCTACGCAATTGGGATACGACGATATGCATCAACCAAGTCAGCGAGCCTGACCACCCGATCCCATTAGTCGCCTCTTACAACAAGCACAGTCGCCTCATACGGCAAGCATGGGTTGTGAAGACCTATTCTATCCCGGATCTTCACGGGTCCAAAGTAGTATTATAACATCAACTGACAACAAATGTTATGTATACAGACTAGTGATCTTTTTTAATTATTTAATTTTTTTTTGTTTCAGTTGAATTTCATATTTTTATATTTCCTTCCGACAAATGTTGATATGCAATCACCTAATACAATATTGATCTTTTACTGACACTGAAACTAAAATATCCAAAACTCATGAAAGTGTACAACTGTTGTCTTCTGACCAGGGCTAAATTTACTTTTTAAAACAACTTAACAAAATAAATAAAAAAGCCATGGGAATTTCGGGTGCCTTCGTTGATTGTATGTCATGTCATTGTTTCTAAATTGCGCCAATCGATGCTCGATCCAGACTCGTTTGTTTGCAGACCTCTATCATAGTGCTGGAATATTGCAGAGTGCGTCGTTACAAACAAACAAACAATAGAAACAAAATCATACAATATTTTGTTTCAGTTTAAGGATCAGTTAGGTTTCACATCGCATTCAACAGTATATCAACTATATCAAGGCGTTTCAGCTCAATGTGGGAGGAAAGTCTATAGTGATGCAGATCTTTTTTCCACAATTCTGAAACCCACTTGCACGAACAAAGAGCTGACAAACCTAGAAACATATGAGGGCGAATCTCGTATTGAACCGACGATAAAAGGTTCCTTGCAGGCCTAAGGGACGCAACTCTGCACAGCACGACCACCCGTAACCCCTATTTTTATTTCAGAGATATTAGTCATTTAGGGGGAAATATTTTGTTTGAGCTATGAATTGTTTCCTAATTTAATACTTAAAGATTTGGCACAGTGGAAACTTTGACATTTTACAAGCGCAATAAAAACATGGAAAATGGCTTTAAAATATTCATTCATTTAACGACTAACGAATTTCTATAAGGCTTCCCAAATCGCTGTGTAGAGTTGTCTCCCCTAGGTGTCAGGATCCACTGGTTGGTGGCTCAAATCTCTGATTCGCCCCAATTGATCCTGGGTCCGCCTATGTACATCTAAGACATTTGGGTTTAGGTTTTATCCTATATTAAATCAAAGGTGAGGTGAAATGTGGTTTAACTTCGCGTTCAAGATTATCGCACTTATATAGCGACGTGCATGTACGTGTGTGTGTTTGTGTGGCTGCTTGTACTAGTTCGGACTGATGCCGATTTATAGTGCTAGCTCTCTGAGATACCATGCCGCAGTTTAACATGACACTATACTGAATCCGAGCCGACCAGTCCTTGTTTAAGCCCCTTGATGACGAGCGCCAACCAGGGTAATAACAACTATCATCTTTTAACGTCTTTTTGGTATGACGAGGCCGGGGATCGAACCCGGACCTTCCGCTCTCCGGGCGGACGCTCTACCACTAGACCACGGAGGCGGTCTATTAAATCAAAACGCCAAATCCCCAACTTAACGGAAGCTGAAAAATTCACAGAGACATACGATTATAAATCCGTGTATTAAAGGTACCTGACTGACTAAATAAAGTTACATCGTCATTAAACCCCAAACATACCCCATTCTTGACAAAGTAGAGATGGCGAAGACATACGCCTCGGATACATCGACAAGCAACGATACGATAAGGGAGATTTAATCAATAATCTCCTAATATGCGACTCGATTCTCACCCAACCATCACCCGTTCATCTTCCCGAGGCAAGAGAGTTAACTGATTATAAAAGTCCAGTTTTTACCCTTGCCGAACTAGGCTGGTATTATGAGTTACATTTTGGCCGGACTAACGAGTCTATGCATAGTCGAGTCAAAATCGCGCACCGAAATCGAAATCTGGTTCGTAAACTGTCATGCAGAGTTCGGTCGATTGCAGGATTTGCAAAGCATGTGAACCGCCAACTCGTTGTCAACAGATATTTTTCAAATCTTTTCAAGTTTTGTAATCAAGTTGCTCACATGATTTGAAGCACTTCGCGATGTAAGGCACCTTTAATCGCAATATACATCTTGATTGTCGATCAGATCGTCTTGTCTGGGCGCCGCCATTTTGTTTGAATGCAAGTGATACGAGAGGTGGAATCTGATTGGTCCATAGGAGAGTCATAGAAGGGACATAACTCATAACAGCCACTGGTGGCGCTACGATCGAGCCCAGGAATTCCAGCCTAGTTCTGCAAGGGTGGAAACTGTACTTTTAAAGTCAGTTAACTCTCTTGCCTCGGGAAGATGTCACCCCTTTGAGTTGAGGTTGAGAGCCACTGCCCTCTCATATATCAGGGGGTTATAGAATATATCATATGTAGACTATGTCATACCTGTCTCTCGATGAGGTTGAGAGCCACTGCTCTCTCATATATCAGGGGTTATAGAATATATCATATGTAGACTATGTCATACCTGTCTCTCGGTGAGGTTGAGAGCCACTGCTCTCTCATATATCAGGGGGTTATAGAATATATCATATGTAGACTATGTCATACCTGTCTCTCGGTGAGGTTGAGAGCCATTGCTATCTCATATACCAGGGGGTTATAGACTATACATCATATGTTGACTATGTCATACCTGTCTCTCGGTGAGGTTGAGAGCCATGCTATCTCATATACCAGGGGGTTATAGACTATATATCATATGTTGACTATGTCATACCTGTCTCCCGGTGAGTTTGAGAGCCATGCTATCTCATATACCAGGGGGTTATAGACTATATATCATATGTTGACTATGTCATACCTGTCTCTCGGTGAGGTTGAGAGCCACTGCTATCTCATATACCAGGGGGCTATAGACTATATATCATATGTTGACTATGTCATACCTGTCTCTCGGTGAGGTTGAGAGCCACTGCTATCTCATATCTCCGTAACCGGGTGAGGTAGTTGTGGACAGCGAACTCCTTCTCTAACTCCCGGATCTGATGTTTGGTGAACGCCGTCCGCTCTTTGCGGGGTTTTGTGGAAAGATCGAGTTTGTAGGATGGACTTGTGGCTGAATCTGAAACATGACCAGTATGTTTAACAATGGAAAGGTCAATATTTTCATTGAAACTCGTAAACTGTAACAGCCCAGTCGTCTGTCATATATACTACTCGACATATCATAGAGGTTTCAGTGACTGGTCGCTTTGATAACTTATGGTAATAGTTTTCGTAACCACCTTTTGAAGTTTCAACTACATACACATTTACCTTAGCTGTTGCCTTCATTGGTTTTGTCTTAAAACAAAATCTGTTAGAACGATCGCGATGTACACCAGAAGATAGGACGTAGGGGTATGTTATGTGTATCGCAGTGTATTTAAAGGGGGTCTTGTTTCTAAATCTAGGGACTACCTCCGTGGTCTAGTGGTAGAGCGTCCGCCCGGAGAGCGGAAGGTCCGGGGTTCGATTCCCTGCCGCGTCATACCAAAAAACGTTAAAAGATGGTACTTGTTATTACCCAGTCTGGCGCTCGGCATCAAGGGGCTAAAACAAGGACTGGTCGGCTCGGAGTCAGTATACTATGTCTGAGTGGGGTATTCATGTTAAACTGCGGCATGGTATCTCAGTGAGCTAGCACTATAAACCGGCATCAGTCCAGACTAGTACAAGCAGCCACACACACACACACACACGTGCACGCACGTCTCTTTATAAGTGCAATAATCTTCGACGCGACGTTAAACCCAATTTCACCTCACCTCGCCTTGTAGATCTAGACCGAGTCTTGCGTTTTAATCAAGTTGGCTCATCGTTTTTAGTGGGTTGACCTACGTAATAAAACTTAGCAGATGAATAAAGTGTTGTTTGAATGAACTGATTCCAACCCTGACTGCAAACTAAACTGAACCTATTTCCTCTTTAAATTAATAAAGTAAAAAATGTTTGGTCAATATTGAGTTAACACATCCTTTACATTAAGATAAAAGCGACAAAACCCTTTCAATAACCCTAAGCAATCTCGTCTAAAGGCAGATTCCGACTGATACTATATCATAGGACCGTGAAGATCCGGGGTAGAATAGGTCTTCAGCAACCCATGCTTGCCGTAAAAGGCGACTAAGCTTGTCGTAAGAGCGACTAACGGGATTGGGTGGTCAGGCTCGCTGACTTGGTTGATACATGTCATCGTATCCTTATTACGTGGATTGATGCTCATGATGTCAATCACTGGATTGTCTGGTCCAGACTCGATTATTTACAGACCGCCGTCATACAGCTGGAATATTGCTGAGTGCGGCGTTAAACAACAAACTCACTCACTCACTACTCACTCACTCGCTCACTCACTCACGCACTCACTATATCATTATCATGCGTTGTTCCGCTAATCCTGTGGTCATCACGGATTTTCAGTGATCCATTCATATAATGTTCACCACTATTTAGCCTTTTACGCCCAATGGATAATCGAGTCTGATTTTTCTCTGGCGTTTATGACCAGAAGTACAACGTTTTATCCGTCACGTCTTTAAATGTGTCATATACACACAATCCGGGTTAGACATGGTCTTCAGCGACCAGTGCTTGTCATAAGAGGCGACTAACGGGATCGGGTGGTCAGGCTCACTGACTTGGTTGATGAATGTCATCGTTTTAAATTGCGTTGATCGATGCTCATGATGTCAGTCGCTAGATTGTCTGGACCAAACTTGATTATATAAAGAGCGCCGTGTGAGGCCGCCATACAGAGTGCGGCGTTAAACAACATACAAACAAAACATACACACACTCAGTATGTCGACATTGTCATGCTTGGTTACGATCCTAAGTAACTGTTGTGTAGCATGGATGAAAAATCAACATAACTGACTTAAAGACGACATCGAGGTCCCAACATGACGATTTTGTTATGTGATCCGAGAAAAAAAATCTATCAGCTGAAAGTGTTTGTCATAAAATACTTTTGATCAATGTGGCGATTACTGTCATAAAAAACCATCACATTTTGACATTTGAGCATACATTATCAAACCATAGTTGTACTGTGGATTACTGGGATCATTTGATACGACGAGATTACCGTTTCTCTTTCATACGTAACTGTGGGAGTCAGGTCCCCATATAGGATACTAGTATCTAATATCAAAGAGTGCATTAAACATTGACTATCACATTATCCTCCGTTGTCCTGTTTCACGACAATGGCGTGTTGAGCTTATATTTCAGACATACGGGTCAGGTGGATGATAGTTTTAGCGAACAGCCACTCAGTTGATAACTGTGCCATAGAATAAAAGCGACAAACCCGCTGAAAATGTGTTAAGAATGAAAATACACACAAGCCATGTTTAGGATGTGCTTAAATCATAAACGGAATACAAATTTGGTGCCTTCTATCTTAACATTATTAGAGTCTGAGGACATGAAATGAGCTATTGTTTCACAACCCCAATACCAATTAAACACATAATCTAAAAATGTTTAGAATTTAAATATGTTTTTGACAAAGTGCTTATTTTTGTGTATTATTCTTATAATCTTAACATGTATAAGACAAAGGTCTTATCATTGTGCATCATTCTAATAATCTAAACGTGTTTAGATTTTACACACAATGTTTAGACGCTAAACGCTACAAAATTATGGGACAAAGAACGCGCTTTAGTTTGTGTTTAATATTTAAACAAATTTTACAGTGTAAACGAAGAGTTCGCTGTACGATTTCGACTATATAATAAGCATGTATCAATGTATCACTATCAAATAGTGCCGATACCAGGTGAGCGTATCCTGTCCGTACCGGTGGTACACGTCACAAACACATGCAAAGGCAAGTCAATGGGGAAGTTCCATAAAGGAATAGGCATAATAAGAACCATTTTGGCCACCTAGGTACGCCAAACATTTAAAGCTGGGAAATTATCGTCATGAAATTCTGTTTCGACGGGCAACCTCCACAGAAAAACCAACGAATGATCTGTGTTGAGTGAATGTCCATGGCCTTACAGGGACAGATAATCCTTCATTCTTTCGTTTCGAGGAGGGTATTCTGTATGTTAGTCATTGCCACATTTAGAAAGTAAATGAGGAAAAAACCACTTTCATCCCTGGAGAAAAAGTTCACTGCGGTATATTATTGATCAGATGACATCGTAATCAACGTTTGATCTCATGACGGATGTATGACGTCATATTCTATTGTTCTCAATGAGGCAATTTGACGTTAAATCGATTTAACTGACCAATCAGCGTCGATAATCTGTATTGTGCAAAGGTATAACACTTGATCATTCAGCCTTTTATGTTTATCAATTATCACTCTCTTTACTTACATAGCCTTTATCTATATCAGCTCATGTCAAAGATTTGCTCTTGCTAAAATATATTCCATAAAATCTCTCACATTCTCTTTAAAAGTATATGCACACAGTTTTATTTAAAGTTGATTTTAGTCATAACATTTTGCATAACTACTTTTCTTTATTTTTTTTGGACTTTAGACTGCATTCAACATTCTTTCTCCAACTCAAATTAAAAGTGTGACTTAAAATACATTTTGTCATACAATCTGATATACATCTCCCAAATCAAACCGCATTATTTAAACCTCGTGGTTTCTTCTTCCTGCAGTGTTTTATTGTAGGATAACAACGACCACGAGTCGTTTATTTCTTATATGAGATATCAACATTATGTACAACCTGTTTCAGGATGACGATAAAATGTACAAGCTTTAAAATATTTACCCCTATTTAAGTAATGATGACTCCCTCAATAGAATGCAACCTCGGCAATGTCGGGCACATCCATTTTATGCACAGGTGGGTATTTCCCGCATATTCTCACAATAACGTCGATTACCTGTACCTTTTCTCCCAATACCTATTGTCATATCTCTCACGCTTTTGGATGCGATGTTCGTTTATCTGCGTTACCCAGCTACACCTATGGGCAACAACTCACTAGACACTTCCCTCTAAAAAAATTATAAGACCCTCATATATAGTTGCGAGCGCGAGATGACGTCCCAATAGAACAACGTTTTATCGTATAATAAACCACGAAAATAGTACATAGCCCCAACTGTCGTGTACATAAAATACACTTGTTTGATTACATCATCTAAGAAACCTGCGTTCTATTACACCTATCGCCACGCATGTTGGGCGTTTTAATGCGATATATCGTGAAGGGCGAATCACAGAAAGGTATTTCACAGCCTTTCAGCCATAGTTCGGAGGTGGCACTACTTTACGGGCATGACAACTTGTATGTATCCCTCCACCACACAAGGAAGCAATCTGATTGGTAGCTCGGCCAAACTAAGGAGCGTTGCACAAAAGTTATGGTGTCGGTGTACAACACTTGTCAAGAACGTGTTCAAAACTAATTATGGACAAATTGAACGCAGATATGGCGTGTGCCGCAGCCTGAAAGTCCCGTTTTAGTTCAAATCTGGCTTTTATCAATACCACATTTGTAGCTCGGTATGGCATAAGCGACCCCCTCATTCCGTTAACAACAAGACGTAGGCGAGCGAGTCAAGCCTGCCGGTTATTGCCACACTGAATGGAACATATAAAATACTCGTTTTATGCCACTGGGGGCCACGGTTGTTCTCTTTGTGAAATAATTTCGCAATTTGGAAGCCACTTTTTACCTCGTCTATGTTCCATTATTTAGGATACGTTGTCAGTGTTGAAAGACTTTGCCAGTTTGAATTAGTGTCAGACTTGTTTATTTTTAAAAAAAAGTAGAAAACCAACACTGTTTATGTATTTGAACTGAATTCTAAAAGTGGATGAAAGTTGTTGATATGTGGGTAATAAACAAACACTTGTTTTTTTAGGATAAGTTTCTATCCACAAAATTCACCTTTTCAGAAGCCAAGTATACATTGTTTACTTGTAGTCGTTTCTTATATTGATAACGTAAATCAATGTCTTCAAGATTATCACTCGCAGACATGACACTTGTGATGAATAACAATCCCTTTATTGTTTTCACCAACGTTTCACGGTTACTTCGAGCCTACTTATCTCAGAAATAAAACAAAACAGACGATGTTACCGA